CAATGTAAATTCAAAAAAATTAAAAAAATATTTATTTTAAATTTGCCCGAAATGCCAATTGAATAAACGAATAATTTCGAGAATATCTTAATTTATTTCAAATACTTAATATAAACTTAAAAAATAAAACATATATATAATTAAAGAGAAAATTCTATACTAATAAAAGTGCGTGAATGTATTACTATTTCCTGCCTTTCTTGCCTTTCCAAGTCCAAATAAAATCAATTTCATCAATATTTAAATTAATTTCGGATTGTTCGTTATCAGAACTAAAACTGTATGTATTTAACCATCTTGGACCTATTTCTTTTGATTTTTCTTTCCATTCTCTTGTAAGGTCTTGTTCATCCAAAAAACAAATATATCTTACATTTAATTTATCCTTAAATAAAATATCAAAATTACTTGTTTTGGAGGCTAAAGAAGAACCTTCGAGGCATGCATAATCATAAATTAAACTAGTATGAAGTTTAAGTACACCGCGCCTACTGGCTCTTTCTGCATTTGAAAAGGCATCCCTTTTTACATTAAGGATTTTATAGAAATTAATAAATAAAAAAATTTAACAAAAAGATAATGAAAATAAAAGTTTTTTTATGCTATACACACCCCATAAATGAAATAATTATATTCCCAAATACAATGACAAAAAGAAAACCACCAATAACATTAATAATAACAAGAGGCCAAAAATTCCAAGAATCCAATGGAATTGAATCCCAACCATATACTGCAACTATAGAACTAAGCAAATTAGAAAATGGATTATCAGGAATTTCACCGACCATTGTATAAAGTGTTTCATTCGAATTTGAATTTGAATCTACAACATCATAAGTATCTGGTGCTTGACTTAGCGATATATATGATGGATATCCAAGAAGAATAAACCTGTTATAAATTTATTAATAAATATGTAATATGAATAAGAGTGAATCGTAGAATAAAGAAGATCTTACAGCGCATGCCCCTGATAATGTAAAAGAAAATATTATAGTAAATTTCAAATTAATTTATTAAAATTTTTTTAAATATGAAAATTTTAATACCATTCCAATAATCACTAAACAAAAAACGATTAAAAATCCTTTAATTGTAAACATAATATTTATGATTATATCAAGATAATTGGCAAATTCTAAAATAAAAATTCATTTAAATAAGATGACAGTCAATTAATGAAAGTGATATTTAAATGCACAGTACCTGGAAAAACGCGTAGTAACAAAAACTACGAGTAAAAAAAAAAAAACTCTTTAATTTTTAATCTTAAATTACGAAAACAAAGAAAAATGCAGTACATACCAACTCGCACCAAAGAATCAGAATACTCATAAAGATAATAAAAACAATAATTTGAGTAGTTGTTGAATTTTTAAAACCATTCTCCAGATTATAAAAATTCGATAAAAAATAAATAGAAAGGATAATAGGTAAAGAAATAGCAATTATATCCATCCAATTGAAAAAATCAAAGACATATTTCTTCCCATAAAAAGTAAACTGATGTAACTCAATTACAAAATGATAGTATGCCAAATAATAAAATAATATGATAGTTATAATCATTGGAATATGTTCATACCCAGTTATCTCGAGATGAGCAATATATGCCCAGGAAATAATTGAATATGTTAAAAGGTATATAACATAAATCTGTAAAGTATGACGCCAATGATATTTAGAAGAATACCACATCCAAGTCATGATGGCCTCCATTGAAGGGATTTCATAAAATACATCATCCTTTCCAATTAGTTTCAAAAGCCGAATAAAAGGGCTATAGTCTTCATTTTTAATAGATGAATATTTCCCAGGTAGGAACAGCTTTATTAAAACCTTTTTAAATGTACTCTGTGTCGATAGATTATCTTTATTCGTTGAGAGATTAATTAGAGGTACCATTCTAATGTAAGGAATTTCGTTATCGCTATAATTGTTTCAAAAATAAAATTAAATATTACAATTTCTTTAAATAATCATATTATATGATAAATTTTACCTGATAGATTTAAGTTCTAAATTGTTATCATGAGGAATAAGTTGTGTTACAGGTATAAAAACTTTCAAAGAATTTTTGGACCTTTTTTTGATCTCATGAAACTTTAAAGTGGGCGAATCTAGTCGTTTGTTACCAAAACAAGTATTATAAAAAAATTCTTGGACGTACCATCCTGTATTATAAATAATATATAAAATACAGCAAATTACTAAAATTTTGAAATATTCAAAATAATAACATATCATAATTCTTTTCACCATAATTTATTTCATATAATATTGGTATGATTTCATTCACAATGTTCATCCATCCAATGTTATTCATCGCATTGGTAGAATAATATTCCAGAAAATATGTAAGCATTGTCATATTGTTCATATTGATATAGGTTTCTGAACACAGTAAAGAATATTTAAAACATATTAATTCATATTAAATAATTTGATCTTTAAATGACTAACCTTTAATAAACTCTCTTTTTTCATTTTTTCTTATAATATTTTTATGATATTCAGGTAAAAGGTATTCTAATGGAACTAGCCACGAATGGAGAGGACGATTTTGTTCGGTGCTTTCATGAAATTTTGAATCGTTTTTCGAAATAATACTTTTTAATTTAGTTTTAATATCACTTTCGTTATCATTTACTATGATTACAGAAAGGCTTGATGAAATATGTTTTTCAGAATCATAATCCGATAAATTTTTGTTACCAAACAAAATATAGGCTATAAGTGAAAAATCTTTTAACTCTATAAATATTAACATTAGTTTATAACGAAAATCTAATAGTCTCCAGACATTTGGATATAGAGAAATAAATCTTTTAATAATGTTTCGTGTTTGTTTAACTATCTCGTTAAACGTTGAACGTTTACCACCAACAGCAAGATTAACGGATTTACTTTGGGAATATAGATATGTAAGCGCATCGATTGCATTCCTTACTATGTTGATAATATCATCCTCGTGTTCTATTTTTACCCGGATTTCTTTGTCATTATTTCTCTCTTTCAAAATAATATCAAATTTACTTGGACCAAGTCTAATTTTTGTAACTTGAAATTTTTCATACGGTAATTCTGGTTCATATGGGTTTTTATTTATGATACAAATAAAATCAAGTTTTTTATTATCCCATACTTGTATTGTATTGTTTCCTATAAGAAGTTTCTTTTGTCTTTCTTCATCAAGGTAGATAACATATCTTG